GTGTGAAGAAATATCAAAGATTCTCTGTGAGGCTTGATAATGAGCAGAATTCCTCTGATTTCAGCTCTAATCATTCAGCCTCTTTTTCTCCCTTATTCTCGTTTCTTCTGACCCGTCCTTCATTTTTCCTTCTTCTCTGTGGCTTTACCACATTACTCTATTTATTTTTCATTCATTTTAAAGCCATTTCTCTTTCTCCTCTCAAACCTAAAAACTGACTTATATTATTCGTAATTTTCCTATTCATGTTTGACTGTAGCTTTGGTTTAGCTAACTTTTTACCATTTCTTCAACAAACAAGTTGGGTTTATTAATTAAGTTTAGTTTAGTTAATTTAGTTTTCTTTAGCAAACAGGTCATAGGCAAACTCTAAAATTATTTTTGGAATGATTTAAATAAACTTCATGCTTTTTAGACATTGATAGCAATGAATGGATGTTTTTATATTTTTTCAGTGCCAAACTTTACTTGTTTGTTTTCAGTCTGAGCAGGTTTTAGTTTTATCTGACCTAGTGTTGACATTAGGGCTCTCAGTCTGCTGCAGGTATAAACCTTATTCTTTCTCAAGTTTTGACTGAAGTTTTTTTTACCAGTTTATGTTGGTTACAATTCCAGTGTTTCAGCCTTAGTAGGTTAGATTTATTTCATGGGCTGGAATTTAAACTTTCACTTCAACATTTTTCCCTCCACAGTCTCTGAGGCTCAAGGCCAATTATTACACTCTCTAAAAGGAAAAGAGAAAACAGCCATGAATTATAAATTATTCTGCTTCAAAACCCACACCATGAATTATTCTTCACACACACACACACACACACACACACACACACACACACACACACAAACACATGCTGTTTTTGCACACATTCACTAAAATACAGACAGTAATAATGATAATCAGTTATACAAAATAGTATGTTGTTGGTGCAGCTTTAAATATTTACCATCACTGTTATCTTTTATTCATTGTTTCATTTGAAGTTTAGTCTGACAGTGGTGGCCTTAATTTGTATAAGTTTTTACTGAAATCCTTTATTCACAAAAGGCCTAAAAGTTTGTTTTTTCTTTCATCGGATTCATCAGACATGAAACCTCTTTGTTTCTTGCTTTTTTGTAATGAAAAAGAATCATAGAATCATCGATAATTATTTGTGTGCAGAGTTCTTGTATTATTATAAAAAGTGTTCAACTAAATTATATCTAATAAGAGTAAATATGAGCTCAGTCAGTCAGATGGGTTAGACTTCATCTGAAATTCAGCTTGAAATGGAGTGTAACTGGCAAAAATATGAAATGTTTCATAAAAATAATAATAATAAAAAATAATAATATGTTGTATTTATATTCAGTTTATCTAATATACTGTTTAGCCAATAGTTGAGAAAATCAGTGTTGTTTTTTTTTTGTTTGTTTGTTTGGTTTTTTGGAATTGTCAAGAACCTTAAAATGAAAAATATTTGGAAATAATGTTTTAATGCCTAAAAACTAAACAACCTAATGTCCAAATAATTGCTTCAGCTTATTCAAAAGGATGCCAAGACCCAAAAGATCCAAACTAAAGGTTGGCACAAACATGACCTAGAATTAGCCAAGAGAAAAGAAAATCTAAACACCAATACAGATAAAGTAAATTATCTACGAGTTAGCAAACAGGTAACAGAAGTTAGCATAAATAGTACATAGTTTAGTACACTGTTCTTTGCAGAAACGAAAACAAAAAAAAAACAGTTGTAAACCAAAATAACCCAGTGAGGAGTAAAGGTAGAAGAACTCTCGTAGTTCAGTATTTGTGAGAGTACACTTTGTGTTTTTATTTCAGTTTCCATGGCGACTTTGAGGGCATGGGATGGATTTATCTCCATGGCAACCAGCATTCTCTCCCCACTGACTCCTTTCCTCCCCTTTTCACACACAGAATAAATACATCTCAGTTTTTAATGATGATGTGACAGAATATTCAGTGTGCTATGGAAACATTCCATTCTTTACGTCTCATCCAACCATCACTGCTGTTATGAATTCCAGCTCCGCTGCAGGACCGACAGCCCTGTAAACGTCTGCTGCTGCTTCTCAGGAAGATGAAAAATTGTTTTTCCCCTTAACGTCATTTGTCATAACCTCAGTGTCTGTGCACATGAGTGTGTGCTCAGACAAATACCACCGTGTGGAATTGTCACCGCTCTCTTTTACAGTTCTGTGCTGTGGTTCATTAATCCTGTTATTCGCAGACAATTTCTTGTGTTGGGTGAAAAGAGCAATTGAATATATTTACAGCAGTTTTATGAAATGTCACTATCATTTGTCTAAATGTTAGCCACATGTTGTAGCTTTTGTGTTTTGTGTTACCGGGCTTAGTTTGGGCCAACACTAATGTTTCTTCTGAAGACTGAATGACTGAAGTTTTTTGGACAAATCCCAGCTCTAACTGAGTTGACATTTAGACGGTGTTCGACAGCCATTCTCACATTCTGAAGTCCATAAATGAAAATGAACGATTTTAGCAGAGAGAGACTCAGCAGTTGTTGATTCACTGCTGCCTTTAAACTGAATGTCACTGATCGAAAAGTCTGTGGAACCATTCAGAGGAATTCTGTTTTTTTTAATGTATTGCTTTACAAAACAACCTGTCTCACATTAATGAAGGGAAATATGAAGTGAAGTCCATTGTTGTGTTCTAGCCCTTCATTAGTGAACCTTAAGTGGTAAAACATCTCTGCAGTGACAGCTGCAGGTGTAGGTTACAGCAAAGCGGAGGCTGAGCGGGAGCCGAGCGTAGGTGTTAGAAACTGCTACCACCAAACAACATCTGTGAGTGGGAGGGACGCCATGTGTGAGGAGGAGGAGGAGGTAGAAGGAGACAGAAGGAAGGACTCATTAGAGAGATGATGTGATGATGACAGCTCAAAAATAGTCTGTGTGAGCCACTGGGCCACCAGTGATGACAAAGAACAGGCTGCTTGGCTCAGTTTTTGCAGGAAATAAAAGACAAATGTTTTTTCTGAGACACTGTCTCTGTCCAACAGTGGAACGTCCATTACAGGTGGTGGTGTCCTCCATTTTATCCTGAAGTAATCGCCTTCAAAGTCCACAAAGAAAATCTGTGAATTTGGATCATCAACTCCCAAAAGTTGGTGATCCACCACACAGATTTACGGAGGATTCAGGTTTATACCAGTGACACAATCTGACCACAGGAGGCAGCAGTGAACAAGTAGCTCTTGTCTCTATTTAAACTAACATAAAACTTAATTCACAGATTTTCTCTATGGTATTAATATACACAGAAGCTGCTTGTCCTCTGCTGCCTCCTGTGGTCAATTTGTGTCACTAAGGTTAAACTGTACAAAAGATTTCAAACAACCAAGTTGGGTGATTTAGTTTAACAAAACATCATGTGTAGAAAAAGGTCTTCCTTACAGCAAAAAAATCAATACAAAACCTGTTGTTTACTGCCTGAGCTGTGACTTCGGAGTTCTCTGCCTCTGTTCGCAGGTGCCTACCCTCGACTCTCGCTCAGCTTCAAGCTGAAAAGAAACATCGGCTACTTCATTCTTCAGACGTACATGCCATCCATCCTGATTACAATCCTCTCCTGGGTGTCCTTCTGGATAAACTATGACGCTTCAGCAGCCAGAGTGGCTTTAGGTAAGAATTCATTGTCCTTCTTTAAAGCTTTTGTTGTATGCCCTGCTGCACAGAGAAAAGGCAAAACTGCAGAAATAAAATTGAAACAACATTTTTTTTCTTTCCCTTGGAATGGATGTGAAATAAATGAGCATGAAAAAGAAGCGTGGATGTGAAACCTGGACCTGCGGTAACTGGGTCAGGCCTCATGTCTGTAGCTGCTATGGCCCTGAAGGAGCTATAAATACTCCCCTGATTTTAATGAACGTGATTGGACTTGTTATTAAAGCGGAGGCTGTGTGGGTGCAGGGTCCCGCTCACTGTGAGGCCCCTGTGTGCAGTAAACAAGACTCGGCACAGCACGGTAATTAGTGCCACTTCCTCCAGACGACACACAGTCTCAGGCTGCTGCCTCTGCAGTTAAAGCAAAATATTAGGCAAAGCATAAAAGAGTTAAAGTCAGAAAAGGCTGAAGCTATGTACAATGGCTCACAAATGTGATACGACCAGTCAGACAAAATATAGGAACAAATGTGTCAAACATTAGCCTTAGCTACATCTAAAATAATATTATCAACATAATAAGTTGATCCTGAAATCGGTTGAACTTAAAAAAAAATGTATGGTATATATGGAAGTTGAGCAGGGAAAAAAATGTTGAAATGCTAAAAACAATGACAAATGTCCAGGAAATCACATGATTTAAGGTCAAACAAGTCCATAAAGAGGATATTAGCTTAACAAAGCATCGGTTGAAGCACTGCACTCAAGTTCAAATTTGTAATTTTCCGATTTCACTAGTTGCATTATTTTGCTTGGATTTGACTCAGTGCCACAAACTGACCACAGGAGGCAGTAGTGGAACAGCAGCTCCTGTGTCCCTACTAAAATCTCTTATTTCTCCTGTAAACTCTACGGTGTGGGAGAGGGGATAGTTTACAAGTTGTGTATTTATTGTTCAGAGCTCCAGCTGATTTAACTTGCTGTAATATGTAACAGAAGTGACTCCAGCTCGGCTTTGAGTCATGACTGACCTGGTTAAGGAGTGGATGTGATTTGTTTTTAATCTTGTGTGTGTTTGTTCTAATCACCTCTGTGGTTCTGGGTTTTCTTCATCAAGGCAGCCCTGTAATATCCACTCATTACTCTGTGTGTGTGTGTGTGTGTGCATTCGTGTGTGTGTGTGTGTGTCATATAAGAGCTGGTGAAGTCAAACTGGGTTCCATTCTCTGCTCCTTATGGCTCTTTGGAACATTTTACCTTAATAGCAAAGCAAAATGAGTGGATGTCAGTGTGCCTGTGTGTGCACAGGTGCCATAAAGGTTTTCTAAAGATTAACCTGGAATTAACTCCTGGAGTCAGCAGACACAAGGTTTCCATTCTTTTAGAATTTTAGCCTTTCCTGGAGGGTTTAGATTGTCTTCACAAATCTTTAAAAATTCAGATTTAGGCATTCATAACCTATTAAAGTATCTTTCATATTTAGTTTATATCAACTTTAACCACTGTGAGTGCAGTAAGTGCAGTGTTATGATTGCCACTAAAATCAGTGCAACACCAGCAGTAAAAGAATTGACTTGAATCTCATTTCCTCTGCTGCTTTTTAGAAGGTTTGTGATGTTACAAACGAGAAGCTCAAGGTGCTAATGTAGCTGCAATCCATTCCCTGTTGTCATCACCTTCTTCCTAACCTCGTTACAGGAGCAGGTGAAGAGCAGACATTAGCTTTAATACCTAACAGAGCACTGTAACAGCAGACACTTCGACTGCAATTCAGGTTCTGATGGAAGAAGATTCCAACAAGAGGATCATTTTACAAAATTACAGCTCTGGTAGAAAGGACCAGTCTCATTAGGTGAGGCTACTGGATTATTCTCAGCAGGTCTATGGCAGAGTAAAGGGGTTTGGGAGAATGGCCAAAGATTAGGTAAAAGGCTCAGAAGGCAAAAGAAGAATCACTAAGTAGTATTCACACTGGAGACTAGCAGGAACAGCAGTCTTTTCCCTTAGGAGTCCAAAAAAATGAAAACATGTTTCTAAGACTGAGGAAGAGTTTCACTGTGGATGGGCTGAAACTCTTTGAGGCCCCCAACAGCGCTCAAACTGAAGGCCAACACCCTTGAACCTTTGGAGGCCATGGAGATGAAGAAAGGTGGAGGCTCTTAGAAGTAGGATAACAAAGCCTGAACTTCTCACAAGCACCAGCAGGAGGCCCCCAGTTCCACAACTTACAGAGCCTTGAGGCCTTTGTTGTACATATACACACAACAAAGTGTGGGGAGTAGTGATCACTTACAGAAGAGCCGTGGAACACCGTGAGCGCAGCTCACTCCACAGAGGCCACAGCCGGCCCATTAGGCCACAGTTGTTGTTTTAACATTCAGTAAAGTTGTTGTTGTGTCACATTCTTGAAACAAACTCAGACATAACTTAAGTCAAAGTGTCACCTTTTAAGTGTTTTGTCGTCATTCTGAATATATTTTATGCTTCAGTTAAATCTTCAGTCTTTTGTGGTGCTGAAGGATAGTGTTGCTGTCCTTGGTGCTGAATTGCTGAAACAGTAATATTTGTCATTTTAAAATGAAGAGATCAGACGGTCTGTATGAAATGTTTCATCCCATGTGTGGGTGGAGTCTGGTCCCACCCCCTTCATGGAGGTCTCATCATTTTATACTACGAAAGATTCAAAAAGGTGTCAAACCCCCGTTTATATACACAGTGTGTGTGTGTGTGTGTGTGTGTGTGTGTCAGTCAGTCAGAGCCTCAGGGCTTTTTTTTCTTATTCCTGTTCTTTCATCTATGCCATTACTGTGTGTCCTTCATTCTCTCACCCCTCCATTATTCTATCTTTCTCTCTTACTCCACCCTGTGACAGACACACACACACACACACACACCCATACACACTTCCATCATCATCATTCCTCTGTTCACCAGAGGTTTTCCTCTTTTTCCCTCATCTGCTCAAATGTCAGCGATAGATACATTTTTTAAAGCACATCTGTCTCACCCTCTTCCAGCCTGTCACTCACCTCTTCTCTCCCTCTTTTTTTATCTACCCACTCTTCCTCTCTTCTTCTTTCTGTGTTTTTTTCTGTATTTTTTCTCGTACTATGTCCCCTCTGTCCCTCTCCTTCTCTCACCTTTTTTCCCCTAATCACTCACTCCCACAATGTTTCTTCACCCTCCTCTCTCAACCTCTTCTCCCCATCTTTCATTTTCTCCCCCTCAGTCCTCCTCACACTCTCTCTCTCCTTCACCTGCTACCTACTCATCTTTTCTCATTTTCTTTCCCCCTCTCCTTTTTTCTCCATAGTCTTTCTGTCTTTTTCGATCCCTTTCCCCCTCTGCTAATATGTCTCACCCCTCAACCCCCTCCCCCTTTCTCTGTCTTTCCATTTTTCTACCAGGAGAGCAAATTACCAAACCTCTAATCACACGCTGATCGCTCATTAACCACACATGTAGTGAACAGTATCACAGGTCAATGTTTCTGTGTGTGTGTGTGTGTGTGTGTGTGTCTGGGTTTGTGAGAGTAATATTCATTTATTATCATCATGTTCCGTTGGAAAAACGTCAGACACGGGGTCTGTTTTGATGAGGACACAGATGGACGTTTTGGTTCGTTCCGTATCCTGACTTTAGATGTACAGTATGTTTGTGTCGGAGCTGTTTTATTTCAACATTTTGTTCTGACTTTTGTCAAAGTCTGACTTTTGAAATTCTTTAAAGGCTGCTGTACTTAAATCATTAAAGAAATCAGCTTTGCTTTGCCCTCTGAGAGTAGCTCCACGTAGAGACCTGCTCCTCACTCTGGGAACCACCGGGTCACGTCCTGGTGGAGGGAACAGTGAAGTCCTCTGTCTGTCTACACTTCTGGTTTGTAACAAAGCTGTGAAGGACCAGGATGTCACTTTTTAAATTGTATGTTTTACACACATGCACGTGATACGATGACATCGAGACTTCTGTCATTATGTCCGTGTGTGTGTGTTTCTTATGATGCCTATGTGTGTGTTCGGCAGGACTAAGGTCAAACAGGCTCTTAGTGTGATTTATAGGGCACATTACAGTGTGACCATTCTGTGTGTGTGTGCGTGTGCGTGTGAGAGAGAGAGAGAATCAGTTTCCAGCTCACGTGCACATGCTCATGCATATGCATATTAATGAACATGTTCCTCAGCAAACAGAGAAAAGAACAAATATTTAATAAAGCAATAGCATGGATTAAAAACTCTGGGTTAGGGACCAATCGTGGCACAGGGAGGGGTTGTTGTGTGGTCCATACTGTTATTGTGATATTAATTTTAGTACTACATTTCTGGTATTCTCTCAAGTTTTGAAAAATAGTACCTGGTATTTTCTTGTACTTTGTTCTAAGTACTATTTCCTGGTTAAATGTGTCTTTGTATCTACCACAGATTCCTGATGCTGTCATTTCTTCTGGTGTTATTGATTGTTTTTGTACTGGATCTTTTCCTGGTACAAGGTTCTCAGACTAATGTTCCTGATACGAGTTCTTGTTACTGTTTGGTGCTCTGACTACAGTCCTGCAGGAGAAGACACATCATTGACTTTTTAGTGTGTGGTATTAATGCACCGGTACTGTTCTGCAGGAATCACGACTGTGCTGACAATGACCACCATCAACACTCACCTGCGGGAGACTCTTCCAAAGATTCCGTACGTGAAGGCCATCGACATGTACCTGATGGGCTGCTTCGTCATGGTCTTCCTGGCTCTGCTGGAGTACGCCTTCGTCAACTACATCTTCTTCGGCCGTGGTCCACAGATGCAGAAGAAGCTAGCAGAGAAGGCTGAGAAGGCCAACAACGAGAGGGCCGCCAAGTATGATGCTGCCAGGGTGAGTTCCATCTAATGGGAATTTATGCATTTCCTCTTGTTTTTGACCCATTTTTTTGCTGTCTTTTAAAAGATTTTGGTCATTAATTAGTTATCTTTTTTTTTTGACTAAGTTTTTCCTTTGCTAATCTCTAGAAATATTCTAGTTCATATTTAGTTACTTCTGCTTAATACTTTCTTACAATTAATAATATGTTTGCTATTGTTTAGGACTTTTTCAGCATTTTATATCCTATTTATTCTATTCCTGAGCCATCTTAAGGCTCTCCGTATTTTACACTCAGCTTTTTAGGGCTAACATTTAGACATTCTTTAGCTATACCTAGTTGCCTGTTAAATCATTTTTAGCTAATTCTGTTTGGCTAATTTTGGCTAATTCTTACCTTATTATTAGCAAAAATCTTCAGCTTACTATAAATTCTTCAAGAACGTTTAGACTAAAGCAAGAAACATCTTCATCTTCTCAGGAGGCAGGTAGTCGCACCGCGTCACTAAAACGCTCCAATCAGATTAAAGGTCTTCGACACTCGCGCTCGGTGAGTTTTCTGCTTTTCTGGAGTCCACGCCACCATCACCATTCGTAGACTCGGATACTCTTTTATGAAAGTTTTTATTTGAATTTATTTTGTCCCTTTATCAATATTTGATTCCCAACTTCTCCATTCATGCACGGAATCGAGCGATTTCCATGACACCTCCATTTTCTTCCTGGCTGTGCTGAAAACATGCTTCAGCAGAAAAGTTTGCAGTATTTCGTGGTAGAAAATGCATGCCACTGTGGACGTCATCGTTCTACATTTTCACCATGATTCCACCATGTAAAGTTTCACATGTCAAATGTAAAATCCTTTTTTAAATTTAGCTGGTTTAAAATAATCATCAATACAGCAGCAACACCAAAAGTACTTCACAAATTGTAAAAAAAACTTTTTTTACAATTTGTGAAGTATTTTTCTCACAATCAGTGGATGATCTATTCCTGCCCTCCTACGTTGAATTTAAACATGTTACCATCTGAATTCAGCATTTGAAAAAAAAAAATTTAAATGTAGCTAAGTCCCAAACACTGGTCCGAGGACCCTCTGTGGTTCCAAGGGTGACGTTCATTTGGAAATCGACCCCCGTCCTCAACTGCACACAGCAGTTTTTGATCCACCGCTGCCTTGGTCTGTGAGGTCAAATGTGTCTCTCTCAGCTTTTCATAGTTAATTTCAGATTCACACTAGTGACACCAAATGACCACAGGAGGCAGCAGTAGATCAGCATCTCCTGTTTGACCCTAAGCTAAAATCAAAGGTTTTCTCCATGACCTTTTTTCCATAGATTGGTTTCAGACACCAAAAGCAGCTGATGCAAAGTTAAATAGTTTTTGCTCACAATTCAGAGTCAATGACTTTAAGTCACTAGATCATACATTTAAATTAATTAATGGACACAGCAGTGGATCAACAGCTCCTGTTGTTGGAGTTTGAATGATGATCTTATTTTGCTCTGGTCCTAAGTGCATATGGTGTAGCTGGTCTGTATAAGCCTCCGTCCACTGATGAGGTTAAATCATATCAGTGTTATTTATAGGGAAATATCGCATGTTTATAATTGGAGGCTTGAACAATGTGTGAATTATAGCTATTGGAAATATCACAGAGGTGTGAAGAGACACATACACTATATTCACAGAGGGGTACAAACACACACACACACACACACACACACACACACATTTCATTTGCATGATCGTTGATCACCATCAAGCACTGGTGTTGAATTGTATCTGGTTTATCTGCTGTACTTGTTTCAGGTAAGAGTTTTAATGATCTTTGTAGACATTGGTCAATGAATTACTTGTGCATTCTTACTACCAACTGCATCCACGCCTCAGTGGGTGCATCCTTTGGCAACACACCCTGAATTCAACCTTGCTTTTAAGATGATTAGGTTCTACACAGAGAGATTTGATTGACTTTAACATTACAGTTCACACGAGGCGTTATTCTTCAGGGGAATCTAATCAAATGTATATGCACTCATTTGTGAGTGTAGCTTTGAGACCTTAAGGCTAAAACCTTCATTTTCATTTACTGCAATAACACAAAGTAGCCTGTGTCAGTTTGAGCTAAGAAAATGAAGAAAGGGTATTTTTAAAAAGTACGTTTTCCCATAGATTTCCATCCACGTGTATTTAAATAGCCAAATTGTGTTCGCTTATTTAACCAAAATCCCATAGTGAAAATCAGTCATTTATCTCACAGGGATACAGGAGCTGCTGGTTTACTACTGCCTCTTGTGGTCAGTTAATGTCACTGAGGGAGACTTCAGAAAGGATTGACACTGATGTCACAAAAACACATTTGAACACACTGCTGTAGGCAGCAGAGAATAAACAACCAATGTGAGGGAAATCGCTGGTTTTCTGTGGAGGTAATTGGTGGTTTAGACATTCCGTCCAGCCCTAATGAGATTTCATTTTATTCTCCTGTTGTGTTTTTCTGTACAGGCAGAGCCGCACGGCCACGGCAACATTCTCCTCACCACACTGGAGATCCATAATGAAGTGGCAGGTGGAGAGATCACCACCAGTGTGGCAGACATTAGAAACTCTCAGTCCATGGTACAGCTGGACAGCACCGCTTCTGCCTCAATCCAGTACCGCAAGCAGAGTGGTGGCGTGGGGCCACGTTCGGCCAGCCGCCACTCGCTGGACCGAGCCAAGCGCAGCAGCCGCCTGAGGAGGCGCTCTTCACAACTGAAAATCAAAATCCCCGACCTGACAGACGTAAACGCCATCGACCGCTGGTCACGCATCATCTTCCCGGCCGTCTTCTCCCTCTTCAACCTGGTCTACTGGCTCTACTACGTCTGATCGGAACGCTTTCTTTCTGCTGTTTTTCTCCTTAATTGTTTGGATTCTTAATTTTTTTCCTTCTTTTTTATACAGGATGCAGGAGTTTTTGTGGACGTTTACAGACTGAAACAGCAACTAAAGACAAAGACAGAGACGAGGTTTGGGACCAAATTCTTATCCAGTTTTTTTCTGCATAAAGTCAGAATCTGTATTTTACTGGAGAGTTTCACGTTTCAGGACCACATGGGATTGTTTTAGAATTCAGAGATGAACCGCAGAAACTTTAGGATCTTGAGGCTTTTTTTCAGGTTCTGAGAGAAAAGTAGGAAAAATCATCACAAAAAGTGAGAATTTATTTAAATAAAGTGTACTCCCTAAACCCTAAAGAGAACTCTGACTTTAATATTAATTATTACAATTAGGTCAAAAAAGTCTTAATCTATATTTGGTGTATTTATGCTTTTTTTTTTTTTGTTGCTTTTTTTAGACTTTTATGGAAAAGAAAATCTAAATTCTAAGAATAATTTCATGGCTAATCTCTGAGAGGTAATTGATTCTATTGATGTTAGTGTAAAATGTAATCTCAGAGTAACTCTGTAGAATTAATCTCAGAAATAAAAACATTCCGAGTTCTCTCAGAAGATCAATCTTTAGAATTCTAACTCGAAGAAATCGTCAAGTCAAAGGTGTGAGGTAAAATTCTGACTTTTGTCTCAGGATAGAGTGAACTCTGGATATTGTAAATAATTTTAGATTTTATTTAGAGTTGTCTTATATTTGTCTACACTAAAAAAAAAATTCATTCTCATATTCTCTAGCATCAACAGTTCTGATGTTTTCTCTCAGAATTCTGAAAAAAGTAGAACCAGAATTCCTTGGTGATGTTTACTGTTTTCTGAGGTTTCTACTGTGAACCCAGATGTGAGACTTGTTTCCCATCATTCTCTTGTTTGTGTGTAAATACAGAGAAACAAACCAGCAGCTGATTAACAATGATAACAACAATATGTTTGCAAAAAAATAAAAACAAAAAAGCAGCAACATCAAACAAAAGCAACAACTATTTTCTAAATGAACAAAACTTTCTACGACATGTGTAGACGATTTCTATAAACCCGTTTGTACGTCGGTCAGGAAACCTATGCACTGTTAATGGAATAGTGCAGGAGTTTTTTTTTAGTGTGGTTGTTTGAGGTACTGAACATTGTTAATGCTACAATAACAGCACTAAACCTGGATGCCAGGGAGGACGAACGGAGAAATGGTTCTACTGTAATAGTCTATGACAAGGGGATAGAATCAGTTTCTGTTAGGTTTAGGGGTTGTCTTTAATAGTCCATCTGTTGTTTCTGACTCTTTATGATTGTTTACACTTCTGTAAGAAAATCAATGTTTTTAGCTCACAGGCGGTCACAGCAGTTGTCGATCTATAGCTGGCTTTATCAAGTTCAGATGTGTCCTATAGTGACTTCACTCTGTGTCACTGTTCAGATTTACCTTAATGACACCACCTCACCAGAGGAGGCAGCGGTGGACCAGCACCTCCTGCTGTCGTCCTAAGCTGTGAACTAAAAGTGTGCGATTTTTTCCGATAGACTTGAATTCAGAACATTTTTTTACGGTAAATCAGTTCATATTTACTCATTTTATCTATTTGTCGCCCAGTAATCGGTCGTATTTATTTTTGACATGCTTTTAGCTGCTAACTGGACAACTTCTAGTTTCTAAAAACATTGGCTTTTTTTGAACACTCTGTTCAGTGTGTCAGTACTTCATACAATCACACTTAAAAAAAATCTAGACCTGTTCCTTTTATGCATGTACTGCTCAGCCATAGTGGTTAAAAATGTCTCCCTTCACGCCTTGAGTTTCAGCATAAATGACTTTTCTGCTGATTTTTGTCCGTCTTGCGATATAGAACAGAATTAAATATTTATCGCATGCAGATCAGGACGTCTGCGACTCAGGTTCCAATTTTTTCTGGACAGAGAAAATTAAAAAAAAAAAGTCTAACTAATTTACAGAAAAAAGCACAACCAACGTGTTAAAAAACTGCCGTATTTATTTTCACATCTAAGTGTCCATGTTGCAACAGCGCTCTTAGTGTTCAGGCAACATAATTGCACTCCAATTTCTTCCTCTAAAAAAACTGCCAAGGGCCTTTAGGGCAAAAGTTTGTCAACTCCAAAAAATTCCAGTATTTTTGTACTCAGTGTCTTTGGTGTTTGTTTCATTTCTTCTTCTATCTTGATGCAAATGCTTTGGTTTCATTGCGTATTTTGTAAATATGTACATAAATGTGTAAAAATACTTGTATATAAATACATATATACGTGTGTACTGTATATATGTAGGCTGTGGGATTCATCAGAAAATGTAATGTGATTTCTTTTTTTAAATTCCACAAATTACAGGACAATGTAAAAACAAACATTGTATAGACAAAAAATGATTGTGATTCGTGATTTACTGGCAACATTTATTTTTTCAAAATTCTTCTCTACTTACTTATGTTCTGTAAAAGTAACAAAAGTAACAAAAGTAACAAAAACAGACAAAGTTGACGTCAGTAATGTTACAAAAAAACGACCAAAAAATGTTGTAAATGTCACTATGATGTTGCAAAATGTCTGAAAAGGAAATGGGCGGGGCTTAAAAAATGGCTTTTCAACTACAGAAACTAGTGCCAGAAACTATATACGGTACCAGGAATTGTTTGCAAAGTGGACATGGAACCAGGAACTAATACTACCGCACTAACTAGGTACAGTACCAGAAATGTGCAATTAAACAACTACCAAGAACGAGACAGTTGTAGTACTTTGTGTCCCAGAAATTAAATTAAGTACAGCAAGAACTTCCTGCATTTTCTTCACAACAATTAGTGCCAGAACTGGAACTGTCTCCAGGAACTCAGGGCAGTAATTAGGTATAGTGTCAGGAGCTATTTGCACTTCTTGTTCCAGGTACTTCATAAACTGCATTAAACTTTTCCAAACCCACAAAGTCACTGTAAACAAAAACTGCTCTAGTCCTTGAAAACAGTTCCTGGTGGTACAAAATGGTCCTGGTACTATGCCTAGCAAAGTCATCTTTTCTGTCAATTTCCAAACCTTCATTCAGTTGCAACAGTGATGAGGAGGTGACGCAGCACAGTGTATAGTCCTGAATGTAAACTGGTTCTGTTGTTCAGGGACAGGGATTTCGAGCCATGGTCACCTATATTTTTCCTTCTGAATGTAAAGAGCGTTGAAAGAGGGCGGAGTCTTACGATTGTGTGCATGGGTGTTACAGAGGGCGGGGCTTTAGTTTTTGTCTTGCTGCTTGCCGACTGACAAATGTCAACATTTACAAAAGTTTTTGTGGACTATAAAAAAATACTCCTGTGTGACTTTCTATGAAGAACCTGTGCCATTCCACCAGAGGTCACGACACGATCCATGATCTGTGGCTTGTGGACGATGACAAGGTGATAAATGTGGGGTTGAAACACATGTAGGTAGCAGGTCAACATGGATTTACCTGGACTACATGATGTTAGAATGGTCTGTGAAGACTTCAATAATCTAGGCCAAGTGGATAAACCTGTAGATTACCCAACTCTGGACCACAAAACCCCAGATGAGGCCCAACCTTGACCCGGATCTGCTCTGATTCATTATGACTGAGACCTGAATGTATTTCATTTAGATATATGCTGCTTAGAAATTGTCATTTTTACTGTCTCTAAATGGAATCTGACAGCGGTCCTAGTTTTAGAGGTGGTTCTCGTCTGGTTTGATGGTTTGATTGTTTTATTTTACTGTGTTCAGTTTTTGACATTTAAGTATGAACAAACCTGGACCCTCAAACCACAAGCTTTTTATTGAGGTCATTTCTATTCCCAATTTTTCAACTTAATGGAACTTGAAACTGGGCCTGGGATTCTTATGAAGCCAACTTCACCAGATTCTAAAACCAAGAGGTTTCCTCCCATCCAAACACTTTGACCCCTTTGAAATGATAACGCTGAATTTATTTTGTGACTACACCGGGGAATCAAACACAAAACAAACAGAGTGTTTCAACTCTGCAGACAGAGGTAGCAAAGCCAGCTAGGTAAAACAACATACCCACAATGCTGTTGGGTAACATTGGACTCTACCACATACAGAGTGAATACTTAATGTCTTCAGGTGGAAAATCTCCATCTTGGTTTAACAACAGCATGTGAAATTTACGAATGTAAGCTGTGAACGGATTAAAAACATTGTCTTGTCTTCGGTCTTTTTTTTCCATAGAAATATGAAAAACGATCAGAATGGTTTTCTTTAGTGACATTTTTTACTTTGTCACGCTTGCTAGACAACTTTCCGTTTGCTCAGGTCTTTACTGAAACATTCTTTAAAACATTGTTGTGAAGAACAGACGGCTCTGAGGTGTAAAAAAGAAACAAAAACCACCGGGTTCTGAAACTTTGTTACTGCATTTAAAAAAACAAAAAAACTCACAGGTTTACTTATTTAAAAAGAGCAACCATGTGCTGGGTTACAAATTTGCAGGTTTTTATTATTTTAAATCTTAGTTTTTATCTTAAAAAGTAAAAGTTTCAAACTTTGCTGCATCTTCACTGATGCATGCAAATTAAGTTTGTGACTTTGGGGGAAAAAAAACAAATGTTTTATGAACTAAAGTATAAAATCTGCCAACTGCTCATTTTGGAGGCTACACTTTGCCATGTGAGCCTACAATAAAATGGTGTAAACAAAACATATTTTAGAAAAGAATTGTAATATTTAGTCAAAAAATAGGACATGAAATTATTGTGTGCTGCCATAAATACCAGTGTGTGTGTGTGTAGGCTTAGGTTTGTACTGTAACTCTGTTTGTTCCTCTGCCCTTTTTTGAAAAATGATCATGTTCAAATAAGACATAATAAATCAGTATATACATTTTCAATGTTTTTTTATTAGATGTTGAAAATGTACATTGTCATGTGCAGTACCACTTCTGACCGACCCGTTTTCTCAGCATTTGTAGTATTTTGGCTTGACTATTATTATCCATAGTTTGTCCTGGATTGTTTAAAATATAACACAGTCTGTTTTTGCTGTATTGTGGCTGTGTTTTTGCTCACCAGCTAGATTTCTGGGAAGATTTACTTTAATCTTAAAAAAACTTAGAGTAGAGAGTAACTGAGTAACTAGTTCCAAACACATTCCTCTACTGTTCATGTGAACAGTCCTGGTAATGCGGACTGACACAGTTATAAATAATGAATTACATTTAATTAATTTGAACAGCTTCTGGATGTTAAAGAACTGTAACCAAGTGAACCTTATCAGGGAAGGACTGCAGTCAAGTACTGATCACACTGATCACTCTTCCACATCCTTCTCCATAGAGATAATCAACATTTCAGCCTCAGATGACACCAGAGCTGCTGGCGTTCTGCTCCTCTTGGTGTTTGGTTTGTTTCACTGAGGTAATTCTGACGCAAGACTTTCAAGCAACAAGGCAACAAAACAAGTTGTTCAAACTTAGTGTTTGGGGCAGCTTTGCCATAAAATCATTGATTATTCATCTGGCCACAGTGGAAAGTAGGAGAGTTGGATGAGCCACTGAATCTTCAAAGATTGTTGGCTTGAACTGAATGTAGTGTTGTGTAGTGTTCTAACACTGCCCCATGTGTTCAATTTGTGTAAATGGCATTGAGCTGAAAGTGAGTATGTCAACATCCAACATAGACATTCAACCTGAGGAATGAAGTGAACAGTAGATTAACAATAATTACGTGCTGTGATCTTATCATGTCCAGTTTTTTTCCATGGGAATTGGTTTTCTCTGTTAATGGATATTTCCCTTCAGATCCGCTCTATCCTGGCTTTAAGATGGACCAGATACTAAAATCATGGCTTAAAGGTAATTCTCATTTAGATCCAGCTTCTTAAAAATGTCTCATTTTAACAATTAAACGCCTCCTTTTACAGGTTAAGAGGGATTGCAGTCTGCTGGGCTGTAAGCAAAGATGTTTTTGGAGAA